TGAGGGGCCCGGCGGTGGACCTGCAAGGCCGGCGGGAGTGCAAGGAAGCCCCGCGAAGGCCCTCCCTGGCCCCAGGCAAGCAGGGGTGGGGAGAGGCAGGGAGGAAGCAACTTACCCTCCCTCTTCTCCTGCCTCCTCCTGGCTGAATGAGGGCCGGAAGCGGGGCGGCCGGTAGCAGGGGGCGGGGCTTCGTCATGTGCCCCGCCCCCGTACCTCACCCGGGGGAACTGCGATCCCCCACGATCCCCCCCGAAATGACCTCTGCATACTACCATTAAAAGCATACATTGTATATGTCTACAGCATATATAGGTCCCCCTCACAGATGTACACCTTAATGTAGTGTGGGGAGGTGTGTGTGTCAGTGAAGCTGAGAGCAAGACCGTAAGGGGTCTAAACATCTAGCAGAGTCACTCAAGGCGGAATGGTCACAGCTGAGACACAAGACTAAGATGCATCCACTCCCTCTGGGGATCAACGGCCACATCAGAAGAAGGGAATGGACAGTTCCAATGGTGATGGCATGCAGGACCCCTTGAAGGGTAGCTACTGGGCAGCAGCAGTAGTGGAAGGTGACACTGGCGGAGGATCTTTCATAGACAATGGCAGTGCCACTTTGTTAGTGCTGTGCAGAAGGTGGTGCTGTGCAGAAGGTGGCAATGGTAAACCACTCCTAATAATCTCAAAACTTGGAAAACTTGTGATGAGACAATCCAAAATGAAAAAAAGATACAGTACTGGAAGATGGAACCCCCAAGTTGGACAAAACTCAATCAGCTGCTGGGGAACAGCAGAGGACAAGAACGAGTAGTGCTATTCTTAATGACCCAACTGGATTAAAGCCAAAAAGAAGTGCAGTTGTAAAGTCCAAAGCTGTTCAACACTTACCATCAGAACATGGAACATGAGAAGTATGACTCAAGGTGGGCTTGAAATTGTAGAAAGAGGAATGGAATGTTTAAACACTGCAATCCTGGGAGTGACTGTACTAACGTAGACTGGATTAGGACATTTTCAGTTAGAAAATTGCACAGTGTTTTACGTTGGAAATGACAAACACAGAAGAAATGGAATTGCTCTAAAAGTGATGTGAGATGCAGCACAAGCAATTAGGTATAATAATGCAAAGCCTGATGGAATAATATCAATCAGACTTCATGGAAAGCCTATCAACATAATTCAAGTTTACGCCCCAACTACAGATGATGACTGAAGAACTGAAAACTTTTATGCAAGTTCTAGGAAGAAATTGATCCCACATCTAAGCAAGATGTACTGATAATCATAGGTGACTAGAATGCAAGAGTGGGGGGGAAGTAGAGTCAAACGTTGAAAAATTTGAGTGAAGGGCACGAAATAAAGCAGGAAAGTGACTCACAGAATTCTGTGAGAACAAAAAACTGTTCATTGCGAATGCATACCGGTATTTCAGGCAACCGAATAGATGACTGTATACATGGACATCACTGGTTTTACATAATCGGAAGCAGAAAATTGAGAAGCTTAATTTTCTCTGCAAAAACAAGACGAAGAGCTGATTACGGTACAGACCATGAATTGTTAATATCGAAAACACCAGAACATTCATAGTGCCAAAATACAATCTAAACAACATTCCTGAAGAGCTTAAAGACCATATAAAGAACTGATTTGCTTTACTAAGTTCAAGTGAACAGGAACTGGTAGACCTATGGGCTGAAACCAGAGATATTATCAAAGAAGAATGTGCAAAGACTATTCCTGTAACCAAAAGAAATGAAAAGCCTTGATGGATGACTGATGAAACTCTTAAATTGTTAAAGATAGACAAGAAGCAAATGCTAAAGGTAACAGAAATAGAATCAGAAGTCTAAATGCAGTGTTCTAGCAACTGGCACATAGAGATGAAGAGAAGAATTACAAAAGCCAGTGTAAAGAAATAGAAGAGAACCACAAAAAAGGAAGAACAAGAGATCTGTTCCACAAGAGCCAAGAAATCAAGGGGAAATTTAAGGCACAATTTTTCCCACTAGAATAATAAAAAAGAAGCCATAATAAATAAACATGGGAGGGACTTTCCCATCCCCCCCCCAGTGTTTTCAGGGTCTTCACATCTCTAAGAATCACCATAGGTTAAGACTAGTAGATTGGTCTGGATCTGTGTGGTGGGTTCCCCAACTACATCTATGACATTGAAGAGAAAGGAGAAGGAAACATATGAAGGAATATCATCCGAAGGAGTGGGATAATGAATTAAAAAGTGGATTGTGGGTCAAACTAGCTTATTTCCCAAGGTCCCCAAATGATTGCTTCAAGTTTCTTGAGAAACCTGTATAAGGGCCAAGAAGCAACAGTTAGAACCGGATATGGAACAACTGATTGGTTTAGCATAGGAAAAGGAGTACGCCAAGGATGTATATTGTCTCCTTGCTTATTTAATATATATGCAGAAGTACATCATGCGAAATGCTGGCCTGGATGAATCACAAGCGGGAATTAAGATTGCTGGGGAAAAGATCAACAACCTCAGATATGCAGACGATACCACTCTAATGGCAGAAAGTGAAGAGGACCTAAAGAGCCTCTTGCTCAGAGTAAAAGAGGAGAGCGCAAAAGTGGGCTTGAAGCTCAACATAAAAAAAACGAAGATCATGGCATCCGGCCCCATCACTCCTTGGCAAATAGAAGGGGAAGTCGTGGAAGTAGTGACAAACTTCATGTTCCTGGGATCCCAGATCAACGCAGACTGTGACAGCAGCCATGAAATTAAAAGATTTCTGCTCCTTGGGAGGAAAGCAATCGCGAACCTAAACAGCATGAGAAAAAGTCCTGCCAACAAAAGTCCGCATGGTCAAACCAATGGTATTCCCGGTAGTCATGTATGGCTGCGAGAGTTGGACTATAAGGAAGGCCGAGTGCCGAAGAATAGATTCTTTTGAATTATGGTGCTGGAGAAGACTCTTGATAGTTCCTTGTACTGCAGGAAGATCAAATCAGTCAATCCTAAAAGAAATCAACCCTAACTGTTCCCTGGAAGGCCAGATGATGAAACGGAAGCTCAAATACTTTGGCCACCCGATGAGAAGGGAGCACTCACTGGAGAAGACCCTGAAGCTGGAAAAGACTGAAGGTCAAAGAAGACGGGGACGGCAAACGATGAGATGGTTAGACTGTGTCATAGATGCAACGAACATGAAATTGAGCAAACTTCAGAGGACGGCGGAAGACCGGAAGGCCTGGCGTGATCTGGTCCATGGGGTCACAAAGAGTCGGACTCAACTGTGCGACTGAACAACAACAACAACAACAAAAGCATGGCAAAGTCTGTTGAGGACAAACAGCGGGACACCTTATGAGCCATAAGAAGAAGACACTTTCCAACAACTAAACTGACCTGCTTATTCATCAACAGTGCTGGGTCCTGCACATCAACCACCAGTGATGGGTTAGGTCAATCAGAAACAGACAAAATTGCCTCCGCAAGAATATCAGTATATTTTTCTAAGAAGAGCAACTGATGGGGAAAGCACCCAAACCCACATTTGGAACACCACAGGGAAATGCTGCTAGGGAAGGGGCAACTGGAGTATGAAAACAACTAGCAGGGAAAGGGGGAAGTCCCTTTCCCCTTTGTGGCTTTTCTGCTCTCAATCATCCCACCCCAGCCCTTATCTCCATCTAGGTTACCTTGCCATGCACAGCCTCCATTCCATCATTAGAGTCAAGAAGATAATAAGAGTGGTGAGTATGTGACTAAGTCCCCCTACACATCTGCACACACTGGAAGGAGCTCTTCTAAAGTACTTACCATTCCGTAATGCTTTTATGTGCTCTTATTACAGATGTCTCAATATCTATGGGGTGATACCTCATTCCTCGCAATTCCATGGCTTCATCTAGTGCACCTACCACATAAAGTGCATCATGTCGCTCTGGATTTAAGAAAGGAGGACAAAAAAATAGTGTGTTATATAAGACATTAAAAAAAAGCGTATGAACATCTGAAGCAGTTGGCTTCTTAGGTTGTTTGTTTTGCAGGTTCTTCACTTCTAAACCCAGCTTTCTTTGTACATTGAAGCACTACACCAGTGCTCAAGAGCCACAAGGGAATGGACTGTACCATCCTTCAAGTGTTTGTATTTATTTATTTCCCACCTTTCACCCCAATGGGGACCCAATGTAGCTTACATCATTCTCCTCTCCTCCATGTTATCCTCATAACAACCCATATGGCAACCAACAGCCTTGGTCTGACACCAGCATGGGTGTATGCCACAACATACATTGCAGCTGCAGGCAAAACAACAATTTCAATGCACTGGGAAAGTACAAAGAAGAACCTTTGGAAGCTAAACCAATACTCTTGAGGACTGATGGACAACATTGATTTTCCAGTGCTGTGTAATACACATTTTCCAAGGGGCTTCGAATGGCATACGTGGTCCACCCTTCACCATTTTTTCCTTACAACAACAATGTGAGGTAGGTTATGCTGATATTGCATGACTGGCCCAAGGTCACCCAAAGAGCTCCATGGCAGAGTAGGGATTTGAATGTGATCCTCCCAAAGCCCAGTTCAGCACTTCAACCACTGCATGACACTGGCTACTATGACCAAACACGTCAATCTAAGCGTGCAAACTGAATGTACCGATTCAAGTAACCTATAATTGGACTGGATAACTGACTTTTCATCTCCACTCTGCTTTTTTGTGGTTAATTTTCTTTCACCCAGACGACGCCCTCTCCTAATCTGTTCCCCATTGAGGGTTGTGGTTTCTTCCACCCAAAACATGTCTTCTTCTTACGCAACCACCCACAAAGGAATAAGATAATTACAGCTGGCCACATGACCACGGTGAAGTCTTCGGACAGTGCTGAGTCTTCGGCTTGGAAACAAAGATAAGGACTGCCCCCTATAGTCAGATTCGACTGGCTTCTGAGCAAGGGAAACCTTTATCTTTACCTTTATCTTTACCTTTATCTTTACCTTTATCTACCTTATAATGAGAATAATAAAGTTTCCCCCAGTTATCCTGAAATGAAAGCACCCTTGACCGCTGCCAGCATGATAATCACTAGCTCTGGAGACTTCTTGGTTAAGTAGGCTTGCCATTCCCACGAGGCTTGCCATTCTCAAAGTGCCGGGATCGTGCCAATGTGCCCAGCACAATGATGTCACCTAGAGGCGACGTCATCACACCGGGCATGTTGCTGGGCCCAGCACAATGATGTCACCTAGAGGCGATGTCATCACACCGAGCATGTTGCTGGGGGGAGGCTCTAGCACTTGGCCTAAAAACTATGGTACCATAGAGTTTCTAGGCGAATGCTAGAGTGTCCCCCTGGCAACATGCCTAAAGCGATGACATCACTTCTGGGTGATGTCATCATGGCGCACGCGCTACACCTCACGCCAGAAATCCTCAGAAAAGAAGCTCTGTCCCCCTGCTGGCAGCAGGTAGGGATCTGGCAACCCTATGGTTAAGGGCAATTCTAGCCACACTCTCTCTGGGGTTCAGTGGTAGAGCATCTGCTTGGCATGCAGAAGGTCCCAGGCTCAATCCCTGGCACTGTTGGGGAAATTTCCCCCAAAAGCATCTCTTGCAAAAGGGCTTTAGGCAGCAGGGACTGGGGGAAAAAACCTTTCTTTTCTGTCAGAAAGAATAGACAAGATTGACATAGATGACCAAGGGCCTTATTTGGTATAAGGCCGCTTCATACGTGTTCCTAGGTCTTCCTTGTTGCTCCAGCATCCCATTCCAGGAAGAGAGAACATACTGACTTCCATCTCCCTGAATCAGCTGTTGGGAACAAAAATGTTCTCCTCACACTCTGCCTGGTCTAAGTAGACCAAGGAGACACACACACCCCTCCAGAAAAAGACAGATGCTTGCTGAATCTTCTTCCCTCTCATATCAGGTTACAGAACCGGCGCTCAGATTTACAGGAGTTGGAGTTGACTTGGGGTCCACAAATCAAATAAGCTGTTCAAGAAACACCGTGTTATTGACTTCTGAAAACCATCAGAACTTACCTCCATTTGCATCTGTAAGTTCTGTTCTCCTCAAGAACCCCAAATAGCCAGTCCGTGCCCAGATAGTTTGTGTGTCTCCAAAACTAAGTCTTGAATTAAAATGATCTGACTGCAAGGATTCATCACCGTAGATGGTAAAATAACCGCTGGCATTATGAGCACTGTGAACCCATATCTAGGTTAAAAGAAGGCCATTTTTTACTGACATATCTGTACAAGACACAGGATTCTTGGGTCTACTCTGCTGCAGATGGTTTAATTTTTATTGTTATTTCATTGCTATAACAATGTCCTTTAGCAAGCCAAAGCCCAACTCTGCAATTAGCTTTACACATTAGGGTAAATGTCTGCACAGTCTACATATATGTACGTCCATAAACAAGCTTTTTATGAAAGCCTACTCCACTATCTTAAGACACTTCCACAAAATTATCCCAGTATGAGAGCCAATCTCTGCGGCATGGTAGCCATCAAGAAAGCCATTTTGCTCAGGTCGATTCTCACACCACAAGGTAATCTGTAAAAGCCCCAGTCACATGGGATGTCATGATTACGTGGCTAGATCTTATGCCAGTCCCACTGGCCCTGAAGGAGGGGATACATTGATGAAGTAGGGTGAAAAGGTCCTGGCAAATCATACAGTTATCACTTCTATATGTTTCCTACCGTAAGAAGCAGTCTAGTGGTAGAGGTAAGTATATTACAATATTATGGTCCCTTTGATTTATATTAGTGAGATAATCTAGGAGAAAAACAAATCCTTATATTTTCATTATCTGTAATTTGAGTAGGAAAATCTGAATGAATAATCAGAGTAATGGAATGTTGTAAGAAGCATGTTGGGTGAGAAGTAGAGCTTTACTGGTATCCTCAGCCTCTCCAGCCCTGCTTATGTCTCCAGTGTAGGTATAATGTTCTATCAAAAGATAGAGGAGGATTATAAAATGATGAATGAATTAAAGATAGCAGCTAGACAAAAACACTGTGTCGTAATAGGTGATTTTAACTACCCACACATTGATTGGGTCAATATGTGTTCTAGTCGAGAAAAAGAGATTGAGTTTCTAGACACTCTAAATGACTGTGCTATGGAACAGATGGTCACGTAACCTACCAGGGGAGAGGCTATCCTTGGTTTGGTCCTAAGTAACACTCAAGACCTGGTGAGAGATGTAAAAGTGATTGCACCGCTTGGGAACAGTGATCATAATGTTGTTGAGTTCAACATTTGTACAAATAGGGAATTGGCCAAAAAGACTCACACAACCACTTTTAACTTTAAAAGGGGTAATTTTTCTGATATGAGGGGACATGTGGGGAGGAAACTGAAGGGAAAAGTAGAAAGGGTCAAAACCATTGGGGAAGCTTGGAAACTGTTTAAAACTACAATTCTAGAAGCTCAAATAAAATATATTCCGCAGGTTAGGAAAGGCACAAAAAGGTATAGGAAAAAGCCTGCATGGTTAACAAACAGAGTAATGGAGGCTGTAAAAAGTAAAAAGAATTCCTTTAAGCAGTGGAAAGCTAGTCACAGTGAGGCTGATAAAACGGAACACAGGCTATGGCAAATAAAATGCAAGTCTGAGGTCAGGCAGGCAAAAAGGGAATATGAGGAGCATATAGCAAAAAACGTAAAAACCAACAATAAAACTTTCTTCAAATACATTAGAAGCAGGAAACCAGCCAGGGAGGCAGTGGGGCCCTTGGACGACCAAGGGGTAAAAGGAGTATTGAAGGATGATAGGGAAATGGCTGAGAAGCTAAATGCATTTTTTGCCTCCGTCTTCACTGTGGAAGATGAGAAGTGCTTGCCCACTCCAGAACCACTGATTTCAGGAGGGGTGTTGAAAGACCTGAGTCAGATTGAGGTGACGAGAGAGGAGGTCCTAAAACTGATAGACATAATACCCCTATATAAATCAATGGTGCAACCTCATTTGGAATACTGTGTGCAGTTCTGGTCACCACACCTTGAAAAGAATATCATAGCTTTGGAAAAAGTGCAGAAAAGGGCAACTCGAATGATAAAAGGGTTGGAATACTTTCCCTATGAGGAAAGGTTAAAGCGCTTAGGGCTCTTTAGCTTGGAGAAACGACGACTGTGGGGTGACATGATCGAGGTTTATAAGATTATGCATGGGATAGAGCAGGTAGGAAAAGAGGTACTTTTCTCCCATTCTCACAATATAAGAACTCGTGGGCACTCAATGAAATTGCTGAGCGGTCAGGTTAGAACGGATAAAAGGAAGTACTTCTTCACCCAAAGAGTGATTAACACTTGGAATTCACTGCCACAGGAAGTGGTGGCGGCTACAAGCATGGACGGCTTCAAAAGGGAATTAGATCAGCATATGGAGCAGAGGTCCATCAGTGGCTATTAGCCACAAGGTATAGATAGGGGCTCTGGGGCAAGTGATGCTCTGTCTTGGTGCTTGGGAGGGGAGTCAACAGTGGGAGGGCTTCTACTGTCCTGGCCCCACTGGTGGACCTCCTGATGGCACCTGGTATTTCTGGCCACTGTGTGACACAGGGAGTTGGACTGGATGGGCCTTTGGCCTGATCCAACATTGGCGTCTCTTATGTTCTTAATGTTATGCCAGCAAGAACCCAGGTGTAGCATTAAAGATACCCACTATAGACATAGAGAATGAAAGTATAAGCCCTCCCTCCACACACATCCCCCTGGCACAGTTTAGGGTGCCAACTAAATCTGCAGCCAATCAAAGGCCTCCTAAATATGATATAAATATTACATTTGCTAAATGATATGCCACACCGCACGGGGCTGTATCTCTCTAGCCTCACGAACTTAGTACATAACAAAGTGGACTTTGGTGACAGAAATCCCATAGAAAGGACTCATTGTGAAAAGCGCTCAATTTTTGTGCAAACAGGCAAGGAGGGGAACAAACACTGTTACAGTATGTTGCTAACACTGCTGTGCTCAGATCCATTACGGGTTGTCCAACTTGGGACACACATCAAAGGGGAGCCTCAACGTCCCCAGGTGGGCACCGGGGGCAATGTACCCCAAGCACCCCAAATCCTACTGCTCTATTTTTCCCTGTGTGCCTAACTGGACATGTGATTACAGGATTACTCTCAAATGTGAGGTTTGTGAGTTTCTAGTCTGGCCTCTTCCTTCTGTTTTGCTACTGCTTGAACTATTGCTTGCCAATAGGCAAGCATTCTCTCCTTATTGGCATTCCCTTTAAAAGGATTCTAACCCATGTCCCCGATTGACACAAAGATGCCTTTTCTCAGCGAGATATCAGGGAATTCACAGAAATGCCTTTTGTGAATGTGCAGCTGCAAGTTTCCCTGTGTCTCCATTCCCCTGGCCTGGCAAAAGACCGCTGCTCCTGAACCCCGCCCAACCCGAGATGTGAGCCACATGAAGGAGAGGTCTTGAGTGTTCTCATCAGGGTAGCCTCTGCTGTGTAAGCAAAAGAAGCATGTGAGTGCTGTGGCTGGAGGAGCCATGGTTCCGTCCTGCGCCAGACAAAAAGGAACATGGTTGCAGGAGGAGGGGCTCAAATCCACATCTGTGGACCTCCATGGAATGTGGAAACTCTAGGGCTCCTCATGGTCACACTGAGGTGCTCTTTTCAGAGCTCCCTTCTTTGCTGTGTTCAGAGCATGGGCTGCAGGAGGAGGCATCAGGGAGATGGCTGGGAGGCATGGCCAGTGTGCGCCAGTTGACTGTTTCAGTCTGCCTATCACTGCAGAGCTGTTGGCATATTGCTCCATGACTGGTTGGGTGTGGTGAGGTTGCTGTGTTCACTGCCACAGGAGGAGGTGGTGGTGGCTCCAAGCATGGACAGCTTCAAGAGGGAATTGGATAAACATATGGAGCAGAGGTCCATCAGTGGCTATTAGCCACGAGGTATAGACAAGAACTTTTGGTCTGGGGGAAGTGATGCTCTGTATTCTTGGTGCGGGGGTGGGGGGCAACAGTGAGAGGGCTTTTAGTGTCCTGGCCCTACTGGTGCACCTCCTGATGGAGCCTGGTATTTTTGGCCACTGTGTGACACAGAGTGTTGGGCTGGATGGGCCATTGGCCTGATCCAACATTGGCTGCTCTTATGTTCTTATGCTGTGGACTCCAGTGCATCTGCTGTGCCCTCTACACAGGTGTTAGTGATGCATCACGATCTTTGGATGGGGCTACAGGGCACTCACAGTTCCCAGCTGTGACAGAACGAGTAAGAGTTCACCATTTTCTTGGTACTTCACATACATTTCCATGAAGCTGTGTGGTGCATGTCCACTAGAGAGGGCTTAACACTCGCTAAGACAAATGATTAAAAGCCATCTTCTGTCCTTCCCCCACTAAATCAGGCAACTCACTACCAACCCAGGCACAGCCTGTGACTCACCTCTCCAAGATGAGAATCTCCCAAGGGTCCCTTTGTTTCTGGATTAGCAATAATGATACGAACTCCAGGGAGGATCTATTGAAAGACAAAATGAGTCATATCTGGTGAGAAGCCAGATGATGTACACACAGTTTTATGCAACCACAGAACAATCCTCCTTGTCCCCCGAAGCCCTTTACAAGACTCTTATGGAAGGCTTAAAAAAAGAAAGAGGTCGGCGTCGTTTCTTAGAGGAAAGTGGCAAGCAATAGCTAAAGAATTATGTTTAATAAGTGATCCATTGTTATGCTCCCTTGGCCCAAGTGTGCCCTGGACTGTTTACATACAGACTGCAAACCCGGCCTCCACAAAACCAGTAACCTCAAATAATCAGTATATCTAATTCTCAACATGGACAAATCCGAGGATACTTAAACCCAGAGACTGGAGCCATGAACAGAAGAGACAGATCTTTCTACACAACTGAAAAATATCTTAGATTTGCAGAAAAATCTGAAATCTAAAAGAAAATACATTGGAGAAAGGGGTTAACTCCCCCAAGGATAAAAGGACTGCCTGTAGCTTTAAGAAACAGGTGCTCTCATTGGCCATTGCTAGCCAACCACAACAGTATTGCTAGCCTTTAAGACTTGGTTTCTGCCATTGAAAGGCAAGGACCTTGAGGGAGGACTCTGGGCCAGGCCCAAAGCAACCACTTGCTGCCACATTACTTGCATGACTCTCACCCAGGCCTGGCTGCTTATTACTGTTCAAAAAGCAGCCACCCCATGGAAGCCAGTGGGGTGTAGTGGTTAGAGTTTCAGACTAGGGTCTGGGAAGCCCAGGCCTGAATCATCACCACTCTGCTGTGGAAGCTCACGGGGTGACATTGGGTCATTTACACATTCTGAGCCTAACTCACTTTACAAGGTTGTTGTGAGGATAAACTGGAGGAGAAGAGAATTATGCAATCTGTTTTGGGTCCCCACTATGGAGAAAGGCGGGGTATAAATGAAGTAAATAAATATGTTGGTTGGTGGATGAGAATGGAAGACGGAAGCTTGGAAAGATGAGCATAGGGGGATTGCCAGGAGGGAAAGAGAAATACTGTGGGCAGGGGGATACCGGGGGAAGCGAGGTGCCCCCACAAGTCCTTGTATGTTCCCTACCATGCAACTGGGCCCAGCCAGCAGTGTGCATTCACACCATAGACTTTCTGAGTAGAGGATGCTGGGCGGAGGAGGGAAAAGTTTAGGATTGGGGGGGGCAGAAAAAGACAGGTTGGTGGGTGGATAGGAAGGAAAGAAGGAAGCAAGGAAAGGGAGGAGGAGAGATACCCCCCACAAGTCCTTGCAGGTCTTCCACTTGTCATCAATATATATAATTCTCAACATTAGCCATCTGTGGTAACGTAAATCTAGGCACTGGAGCCATGAAAAGACAAGACAGTCTTTTCTACACACCTGAGAAAAGTTAAAATTTTCAAAAAAATCTGAAATCTTAAAAAATTGGGGGGTTAAGTCCCCAAATAATAGAAATAGTACATGTACCTTTAAGAAACAAATGCCATCTGTAGTGGCTTTTGTGGTGGTTGCTAGGCAACCAGAAAAATACTTCCAGTGTTTCAAGTCTTGGTCTCTGTCAGTAAAAGGGGGGGGGGTCCAGGTCCCTTTCCAGAACTGTTTTGGCCTTTGAGCAAGGACTCATTGGGGCCAGGTATGACAGCTAACACCAGCAGGCCTGCCTGCTTAGCACTATTTAATGGCAGCCACTGCATAAAAGCCATTGTGGTGTAGTGGTTAGAATTTTAAATTAGGATACTCTCTAAAAGTGACCTTTGTCTGTCACTGACTCCCAGACTAACCTACGTCACACAGTTGTGGGGATAAACTGAAGGACATGAGAATGATGTAAGCTGCTTTGTGTTCCCCTTGGTGAGGTGAGGTATAAATAAAATAACTAAATAATAAAAATAGCTGAAGATGAGGGGGGGGGAGGGAGAAAAAAGGTAGACTGGCTGGTGGGTGGAGGGGAGAAAAGGAAGCAGGGAAAGGGCAGAGATTATGGGAGGCTGCTGGAGGCGGGGAAGAAGAAATAGTGAGGGAGGGGATACAGGCAAAAATGAGATACCCCCTGCAAGTCTTTATGGCTTCCTCACATGTTACACCTCATTCTGTACATGGCCCCAGATGTAGATCCTTAAATCTGTGTATTAGGGCTATATTCAGATAAAGGAGATATTTCTACAAACTCGGGGAAAACCTAGGCTTGCAGAAAAATACAAAAACATTAAAAGAAAAATTGGGGGTTCAAAAAAGCCCCCAGTGGGAGAACTGAGGAGAGCAGTGGGGGAGGAGCCACCACAATTACCACTGGTGCTACCACGTGAACCAAACAGGTGAACGTGTTAGCACTGCTGGTTGGCAGGCCAGCTAGAAAGAGGGCAGCCCAGAGAACGGGTGGCCTGACCAGGAAGGCAGAGGGCTGGGGGGGGGGCAACAGAGATGACACACCCACAGTGAGCCCAGGCGGAAGAGGAAGAGAAGGCAGAGGCAATGGCAATCATTGGGAGAGGGAAGGCAAAAGAAAGTGGGGGCAAGGAAGGAAAGTGTCCACAGAGGGAAGGAGAAAAGAGATATCAGTGGGGCAGGGGATGAAAAGGATGAGACCCCACAAATATTGTGGATCCTCCCCGTGTACATTTTTACTGATCATGTATGCAAGTTGCTTGCGATTGGACTGATGGAAAGTAACTATCCAGTCACAACTTTCAAAATTGACTGCAGGCAAATTATACTGGTACTGGTAGGCCCGTGAGACTCGTGGGGGGCAACCTCATCTCCCCTCCCACTTTCTCACTGGGCTTGTCACGGCTCCCAGGCTCTGGCAGACATGAATGACCCAGGTCCTGGCAGACACCTACAACCATGCCACATACAGGTGCCTTCCTCTGTGCATGCACAGAGGACAATCTTTTATTTGGGGGGAATTTAAACCCCCCTCAATGTATTTTTTATAAAGATTTCATGTTTTTTCTGCAAACCCTGGGGAGTTCCCCAAGTTTGCAGGAAAATCTGTTTAGAGTCAGTGTGGCCGTAATAATAAGTATTGTATGGCATTGTGTGTAGAATAGCCAGGAGATCCTAAGATTGTCTGGCAGGTACAAGTTCTAGCTCTCTTTTTTAAGCGTAATGCACCACTAGGTGGTGAGCTAGACTTGATTTTAAGGCAAGAGACGTTTCAGAGGTGGTTTGTTGTTGCCTGCCTCTGTGTCACAGCCCTGGTATTCCTTGGAGGTTGTCCTTCCAAATGCTAGCCAAGGCTGACCCTGCTTAGCTTCCAAGATTATTAGATATCTATATTGGTCGATCGATCAATTGGTCAGATAGACAGACAGACAGACCAATATAGAGACTATTAGATATACAGATCTTAGTCTACATAAAAGGTTTCTGGAGGTAATACAACCCCAGGAAAGATATAGCCTCTTGTCTGCAAAATCTTATTTGTTCTGACTGGATACCCGAATCCAAGTTAGTGATCTTAGTTTCAGTGCTCACTACAAACATTCGTACTCAGATCCTTATGTATGCAGACAGCCATGTAGGCATTGCTTTCATTGTGCTAAAGGCTGGCAGGCAGACAACTGTTCTCTCCCCCCCCCAAAAGGGGTATGGTGGGAGCACTGCCGCCTTTGGTGATTACACATTTCTTTCCCCACCACTATCACCTCTGGTCAAAACAGGTTTCACAAGTTCCTGAAATGTTACAAAAACCTGTCAGCCGAAGGCCATAGCGGGCTGTGAGTATATGTCTCATGTAACAGTACCTCTTCTTGCAGCTCTGGAAAAAGGAAGCCAATCCTTATTGTTCCTTTTCAACCCTGGAATTCATCCCAAAAATGTGCTGTATCAGGGCCATTTGAGTAGTGTGTGTGTGTGTGTGTAGTCATAAGAGACATGGTAGCATGTAATGGTGCTTTAAGATACGCTGACAATCTCTGAAGTAAAAAATGTTTACCTTTCCCGATTCCATGAGAGGCAAACTATGTGGGGATCCTCTTTCTACTAAACGCACTCTGAAAGACAAAACACATAGGATAACCATCACAACTGTTCAAAGATACAATTTGTTTGTTTTTTTAAAAATAATAATTATTTTTAATTTTATTTTATTGGTCTTGTATTCCGCACTCCCCGCAAGCAGGCTCAGGGCAGGTTCCATCAGTCTCAATACGGTACACAATACGATTTAAAAACAATTAAAAGAAACAATATAAAACAACATCGCTCATAAAGTGCAGCATACAATTTAGTCAGATGTCTCAGGTTTTAGATGCTTCCTATATAACTATTCAGATCCAGGCCAGGGACGTCCCCTGCCTCGATCAAAAGCTTGGTGGAAGAGCTTTGTCTTACAGGCCCTGCAAAATTGTAATAAGTCCCGCAGGGCTCTAATCTCATACAGGAACTCATTCCACCAAATAGAGGCCAGTGCTAAAAAGGCCCCGCCCCTAGTTGAGGCAAGTTGGACGTCCCTGGGGCTGGGGCCTACCAAAAGATGTTGGTTGGTATACCTTAGTGCTCTACGGGGCTCATATGGGTACAATATTATAGCACAGAATACAAATTGGCTTTTAAACTTGTCGTGTGCTGCCAGCCTAGAAACTCTGTTGCTTTCTGCCCCCCAAAGCAGAGGAGCCTTGCTCATGCTTCCGTGCTAGGGAGGATACACATCCTCTTTTCTTTCCAGAAGTCATCCCTGTTTCACAGCAGTCGGCACAAAACACTGTGAGGGAGAAAGGACTTTGGAAGGTGCAGCATAGTGGAAGTACCCAAAGGGGCCGGTCTCAATCTAATGGCTAAAGCAGTGGATGTTAGAATAGAGCTAGGGTCAGATTTAGGTGGGTAGAAACAAAAAGTTCTGAGAGCCGAAGGAACTTTTTTTCTGTGGCTACTGCTGTACCCCAACCAAGTCCAGAGACACTCAGTTCCATTTCCAGAGGTGATTAGTGGTCAATATGGAATTACTTGTGTGATCTTTGAAATATAATGTTGGTTATTGTTAATAAGGTTGTTATTTATGGTTTATTTTGTTCTGTTATTGTTACTCAAAAATAATTTTAAAAAATACAATGTTTTTGTACACCAAGGTCAGAATTTTAAAGAAATTTTTTAAAGCATGTTCATGTCTTTCTCTTGGTTCCTTCTTCTCTTCCTCTAAGGAGCCAAGGGTATTCATGTTTTATCTTCACAACAACCTTGTGTGTTAGGCTCAACTGCCAAGATTACCTAATAAACCTTGTGGCCAAGTGACAACTTGAATCCAGGTCTCCCTAGCCAGCCCCCACCCCAGCCCCCCAGCTGTACCAACTAAGCCACACCAGCTGTGTCCAAAGTTGGCCTGAGAGATTTACAGAACAGGACAGTGGAAGAGAAGAGAAGACTGTCCTTGGACCCTTGTATTCGTGATGTTAAGAATATTTTATAGTCATTCTAAAAAGCAAATGCTGCTTTTTTAAAACAAGTGCCGATTCCCCCACAAAATAAAGTCTATCAGAGAACAGGACAAAAAGCTAAATCTTGTGTTAAAGTGTGATAAATTCTTGCCCATAAAAGCCAGAAATCATCAGAAGATGGCTTTTACCAGGGCTCAAACAACTCCCTACTAAAGCTTTATGGGGAAAGTTAATCATATAGGGCAACACATTTTTGTTTTACAAAAACCCTAGCAAAAATCCCCATATCCTGCAAAGTCATAAATCCCCTTTCTTAGATCATATATTTACATTTTGCTGCATAACTGAGGAGCCCTGATGGGATTTCATGAGATTAATCAAGCCATTTCTAACGCTGTTCCAAATGTCATTCTGATGGCAGATGAAGGGAAGCCACCAAACGCAGAAAGCACCAGGAAAAGCTGCTCTGGTGCCAAGCTAGAAAGATGTTAGGAAGCAGGCACAGCGGGAAACATTAAGCAATTTGGTACATGCTGTGTGGGGACTGGTAGCAGAGGGAAGAGAGGAGAAGGAAGCGCTGGAAATCCGAACGCAACAGCAGACGATGTCTGAAATGTGGGTTATGAATTATACACACATACTATGGAGAGACAACATGGGGTCACACTTCTAATGGCACCACAAGTCGAAAAACAACAGAACTGCCAACTAAAAATCTAAGCTCACAAAACATCTCAACAGCAACATCCATTTGCTTCTATAAAGCAAAAAGCAATCTCCATTTATACAAAAACGCCTGTTTTCTTGTCTACCTAATAAGGATAAGAGTCTTTTTGCAACAGGGATCCGGGCCCTGCGGGACCTTGCACAGTTCCGCAGGGCCTGTAAGACGGAGCTCTTCCGCCAGGCGTATGAGTAGGAGCCGCCACTAGCATCATTATTGTTCCATCATAGCCTGGCCCTGGAATAAGGAACATCAGCGTTCTCCGGAGCAGATGACGCTGAACTAGCAGAGCAGCTGTAATCCGCCATCTTGGGAAATATCATGTGAGAACTAGAGCACTTTATTAATAATAATGTTATTGTATTGTTGATATTTTAAATGGTTTTAACTATGTTTTATATTGGCGTATGCCTCCGTGTAAGCCGCCCTGAGCCCGCGTAGCGGGGAGGGCGGGGTATAAATCGAACCTATAAATAAATAAATATAAATAAATAAGCTGCTAGAGAAGTTGAGGCTGCAGACTTGCTCTCACTCCTCCTACCAAACTCGCTGCTTGAGAAACTAAACCCAAGCTACAAATGACCGAATGTTC